GACGCTCTACTGTACAAAATCAGCCGCTATTCCGGAAAAGCTACGCTGCTCCCGCTTGGGCATAAATCCTTAATCCGGAACACTGTTCTGGAAAAGGGCCAGTGTAGACAGCTCAGTAGTCTTTTCCGGAAAAAAGCCCCGATCATGAAAATGACGATCGGGGCTCTTTTCCGGAAAAGCGCGTCAACATTGGCCACAGATGCTTTTCCGGAAAAAGGGCTTTTCCAGAAAAGCAGCCTGCCAATGTAGACGCTCTTTTTCTGGAAATACTTATAACGAAAATTATTCTAAGCATTTCCGGAAATTCATGCCAGTGTAGACACAGCCAATGTGTATAGAGAAAGTTACATACGCTCTAGGCCGGTGGCGGATTACCTGTTTCCCAAGGGCCACATATGGTCCATTAGAGTTCTGTGTGTGACTCGCACTAGGTTGCCAGAATTTGCTAGTTTTCATCTGCATAGGCTTTTTTCCTACCTGTATTACAAAAATGACATGCACTTAAAGCAAAGGTACATGAAGTGAGGTCAAAGCAATGATATGGTTCAATCAGCATACCCTGCAATTTCTAGGTATGCAAGTGCAGTTAGCAAAACTACCCTAGCTCAGGAGACCATCTTGGTTATGACAATCTTGCAGCACAGTGAGATGAAGCAGGGTCACTTGTATAGCCCACTCACTAGCCTAGATTGTGTCCCTCGTTGCTCTCGGAAAGATCACATGGCTAGAAGCACCAGGATATGTGGTTTCATCACAATTTTCCTGAAGAGAACGCATGTCCTAATGCAGGAGTGGGGAACCTTTTTTGGGTCGGGGGCCGCTGACCCACAGAAAAATCAGTCGGAGGCCACACACAAGTGAGAAGCAAAAAGAAAAAGATAGGGGCCATTTGGCCGTGAGTGACTGAGAATGAGAAAGATGCGTCCCACATTCCCCTCATACACCAGAGCCTGGGGGAGCAGGGGCAGCATGCAGCCCCCGGGTTTGAGGTTCCCCACACCTGTCCTAATGTGAGGGGACATTAGCTGGTCCAAAATACATGCTCTGTACCACACTGCTGCAGAACGGCAGTCCACTGCCCTGTCATACCACTGCAACATAAAAGAAGTATAATGCTGCAACAGGCATTGATCCTATGGGACAACTTCCAAAACATGGCAACTTTTCAGTTCTATTTCAAATGGGGCTTTAATTAATATGCCCCTTTCTAGACTCTTGCTGTGTTGTCAGATTGTTCAGTGGCACGGGCAGGCGGAGTCTGGATTGTGCTCCAGTTCTGGTACAGGCATCCAAAGCAGGTGAGCAATTCTTCTGGAACAGTGTTCCGGAAAAGGGCCTCGTTGCTACAGTTTCTCAATCCTCCCCAAAGTGGTTATTACATTGTAATTATTTTGTGCTGAATCACAGTCTTGTCTTCCTCAGGGAAACTCATCCTAGAACTCTTCTGGAGTCCACAAAATTTTGCCTTGGAGTAAGAAAGTGCAACTTTGACTGAAGTCCACAGGCGTTGGGTCTGCCTAACTCCAAGGACAAATTTGGAGCTCTTCTTGCTTTATCTGAGAACAGGGAAATCACTGGAGCTCCTGATACTCAGCATTTGTGCATGTTTCAGGTAAGTAGGGATGAAAAGGGATAACTTTACTGGGTAATGATTACCGGTAACTGGTTAACCGACAGCCCAGGTAGGCTGGAGCAGCCCCCTGCCCAACCCAGTCACTCCATGGTTAAAGTGTGTTTAACCAGTTTTTAAAAATAGTTTATATCCCTATGAGTAAGACAAACGGAGCTGCCACCAACCATGTCCAGACCTTCAAAATTCAAACAGACACAGGACAAAGGCACCCTTATATCCTTGTAGTGGTTAGGAAGGTGCATGGGGAGTACAGGAGACCAAGAAGGTCCAGAATCTCAGCAGATGCAAACAAACATTTTCTCTACTGAAGACAGTACAGCTATGCTCACCTAATGATGATTTGGGCCAGCAGCTGATGATTTGGGCCAGCATGTCAACCAATCGCAGGGATACACAAAGCAATCAGGGCAAGCGCCACTGCCGTTGCACTGTGGCACATTGGACAGTACACAAGGAAGATGTGCCACACTGCCAGCAACACTGTGCATGGCCTCAGGCTCTGTATGACTGCATTCAGTGACAGCTCCGTTCCAAATGCTGCCCTCTTGCAGGACAAACCCCCTACTGGTCAATTTTCTCAGACGCACTAGTAAAAAAATACCAATGCTCAGGGGCTTGCATTGTTGGAAAAGGCTTTTTTATTGCTTTTAGACGTCAACTCAAAACACCTTCATCCAAAACGTTCTGTATCAAATAAAATGCATTTAAAACATTTGCTGTAGCACTCCTGGAGAAAACCGCACTCTGAGCCCAGTAGTGTTAGGAGTCATTTTAGCCCCAGACCGGGTCTTTCTGAAACTGGTCTCACTGGCCTTTTTTTGCATAGAAGTTAAAGCAAGTTTTGTATCAGGAGGGTCAGTTGGAGGGTTTCCACACTGACAAAGGCTGGAAGGCAATTGGTTGATACTGTAATGGTAATGGACAGTGATCCTCTGCCTGGCTTATGGGGAATTTGCAGGTTTTATCAAAGCTCCTCTCACTTGCAATAGAGAAGTATATACCTGCATCTAAAAGAAAAGGTGTCAACTGGCAACGGAGCCACGCTATTGTGATGATGAGATGTCTTGAGGCTGGGGGCTGTAGTTTTAATTGAAGATGATGCCATGCCACGATGACACCTCTCAGCACAAACATCATAATACAATGTTAGCATGTTCCTCTGCAGTGGCCTCCTGGCTCTCTGCAACTCCACAGGCTCACAGGGCAGCTCTAGGAGATTGAGGATCACTGGCAGAGAACATTTGTCCAGGACTATTAGCTCCTGCTGGCATTATCATTCCTGTAGCAGCATTCTGTTGCAGCACCTTTACTTCTATTGCACCAATATTTTGTGAAGTATTTTATTAGCTGGGTGTTGGTGCAGTTGAGTAATAGAGGCTTGCTCGATTGTTACTGACCTGATTAGCTTAGGAGTCTGACTGATCTACAACAGAGGTTCTCAAACCATTCCTGTGTTATATTCAGACTGGCCTAGCCCAGTTGTTCAGAATGCAACACGTGAAGTTTGTTCTAAAGGCCTACAAGGACAGAGAAAAGTCCATGTGGAAATGACCCCCAGGATGATAACAACTGAAGAACCAATGGCTTAAAGAACAAAGCGGTGCACGCTCCAGCCAGGAGGTGTCCAGATAATGCATAAGACATCATGCCTGCTTGCTTGAAATGTATCTTGAATTTATAAATGAACCAGCTCCTAGCTGGCTGAGGCCTGTAGCAGTGGATAAGGTGGTTTCCCTCTTGCACGCAGACAGATTATCAGAGATTCAATCTGATGTAAGAAATCAAGTCTTGAATAAAGCCCCTCGCCCTCTGCCCCAAAGCCATTTCTTCAAGGGATGTTAACTTCATTAATAAGTATCAACAGGCAGCTTGAATTCTTTGAAGGAGTAAAAAGCAATTTCTCCATTGTCCACCAATGCAAAGACAACCGGGACGTCCTCGCTCTGATAGGCAAGCCGCTTCATTACCCGCAGGGATGGGATCGGCTCATCAAACCTGCAAAAGGAAGAAAGCCTGTCTCAAACCATAGGAATATTTACATAGTCACCTTGGTGAGTGTTGCATGGCCATCAGAGACACCCACCAAGCAGCAAAAAGAATATTTTTCTGTTTTTTTCTTTTCTGTTTGTATAGTGCCTAGCACAATGTGACCTGAGCCATGACCAAAATTCCTACGTGCTATGGTAATACAAATTTAATTAATTAATTATTATCAGGGCTCACCAAACCACGCTGTCCGGCGATCTGCACATGCACAGATCATTCTGCACATGCACAGATCGCCTGAACCCGGCTCTTCCAGGTTGCAATCTACTCGCCATTGGCGAGTAGATTGCATTATTTGTCGAGCCCTGATTATTATTATTAATACCGCAAGCACCTGTTAGCTGCAGTAGGAGGACAACCCAAAGTCTGAGCCTAGGGCGAGAGGAGACCAGACTACAGATTCCAATGAAGCGCGGGCATGTGAGAGGAGAGAATGGGAAAATTGTGGCAGACTCATCTTAAATTAAGGCTGCCTGATAAGCCAGCAAATACAGAAGACTTTGTGGTCAGAAATTTTGCACAAGGGCTCAATTTCCGTAGCACCAATACAGGGCACTTCAAATGAGCGCACACAGAAACACTCATAAAAACAGTCAAGATACATGATCAGTACCTCCGCGCACACATCCTGGCATACGGCTTCCCAGGGTCATTCTTCTTGAAGTTGGCAACTGCATCTGCTTGATACACACTGAAGTCTATCTTCATGCCCGCCATATCCTCCTGCAGTCTGTATGGTAGGATATAAAAATGCTTGACATGACACGTCATGGGATTCTGACACCTCCCAGGCTGCAGATGCATCAGAACAAGGAGTGAGACTAAGCCTTTTAAGTCAGTCTACCTTTGGCCTTTTAAAACCGTACTTCCTTTGCTTCCCAGAACCATCCTTCTTAGGCAAAACAGCTAGTTCTGGAGTTGTCCTGAAAGAGCCTGACCCAAAATCCATTGAAGTTAAAACTTGACTCCCACCGACTTCAGCAAGCCTTGGATCCAGCTATAAGTGCCTCATTCTGAAATATAAGCCCCCCCCCCACCCCTTGGAATCAAGCCCTATTACAGAGCCACTCTTTACCCAGCCAGTACCAGTTCCATGTGAAGTATAGAACCACACAGAGCTTCCCCATGCTTCCTGATGCATGGTGCTCCAATGGGCCAACTCCAGACCCATCTCAGCATGCTACTGTCTCTCCCTGTACCCCACAATACAGACTAGGGATGTCAACATGTAGACAACTACACAATTAACCAATAAGCCTGGGCTCTTCAGCCAGCTCCCCACGAGCACTGGATCCACCTGCCCCTCCGCACTGCTGCCTCTGATGGCGGCGGGGGGCAGGGTGAGGGGGCAGGCAGGAGCCAATATGCATGAGAGGAACCAGGTTTTAAATTGGCTCTCCACGCTTGCCAGCTCCAAGGAGCTGCCTCCCCCACTCTCCCCATGCGCTGCTGCCTCCATCAGAGAAGGCAATGGGGGATGGGGAGGGCAGGGGAGCCCGCACGGAGCAGCTTCTGTCCATGGAGAGCCCGGGCTCGCCACAAACAGACTGCTCTGCAACAGCAGTCCCTGTCCGTGGGGGGGTCCGATGGGGCGGCAGGCAGAAGCCTGTCTGTGCGAGGACCGGGTTTTTTAAACTAGCTCCCCTCGTGGACTGTCTCTGCTTGCCACCCCATGTTGGTGAAGAATGCAGGGGGCTCCGGGGACTGGCCAGATTGCACTGGCTGCTGGCCCTGCCCCCGGGAACTATAGAATAGTTGTGTAAATGCTAAAATTTGATACGGCTACATAATTATTCATTTACACATTATCTAACATCCTTACTACAGGCACCACAAGCAGAAGTGCATACCCCAGTAGATCCATACGCAAAGCAGACTGCTTGGATACCCATCTGCATTACAGCCCTAGTGCAAACTATTAGCACGCAATGTTTGTGTACTACAGACCGTGCCCAAACTCCCCCCAGCCAGGAGCAGAGCAAGAAGGTCTAGGGGTTAGATTTTTAAAATCTCATTCAACTCCACAGCCTGTAGCGGGGATGTCACTGGGATGCTTCCAATGTGTACACTGATGACGCTCTGGACATTAGAAGACCTCAATGCAGGGATGAAAGGTTCACTGCAGTACAATGGACTTTGCCCATGCAGTCTAACAAGAGCTTAAACACCCGAGCCATAATCAGCCTGGAACATAACGGATTTGCTGCTGGACTCCGCTGCTGCCTCTGCATGATGGCATGACAGTGAATGTAAATGCCAACTCTCAGCAAGGATATACGCAGCCCACAGGAGGAGCAGGGAAATACCTTGTGTTCCCATGCACCAGGTACATTAGGCTGTTCCGAAGCCATTCTGGAGACCATCTTACACACCCCACAAGGAAGGACAATGAGGTTTTGTTGAGTTAGACCCATGTTCCTTAGAATTTACTGGCTCAATACTAACCGGGAGGCTCCATCCAGGATGTGGGAAGGCTGCAGCACACTGATCTGCTTGAGGACAGCAGCTTGTGGGAGAAAGAGGAAAGGTTCAGACTTTGGAGTGAGGTCTTCTCTACACTCACAGCCACCCCAAGATAGACTTGGATCACTCCTGCACCTCCTGTCTGAGCCACCCTCCTTCGTCAAGACAGCATCACCCACCCCTCGGGCTGCTTCCTAGATCTTTACTTCCTTTGTCCCCTCTCCATAACTTCCCTGAGCAATACAGTCTCAGTACCAGTAGGGTCTGCCCTGCTCCTGGAAAACAGCCTAACAGGTCACAGAGCAAGAGATGGAAAGTAGCATCTAGTCTCTCCCCTGCTCAGTGCAGGGCTATTCCATACTCCACTGCTTCCTAGAAGAAACTCTTCCCTTTCACAGTGAGGATGTTTGTTCTGATATTCAACATGCATTTCCCTCCTTTCTGTTCCTTCCCCTTGCTCCATAGTGACCAGTCCCACCCACCCGCATATTCACAGTGGGCCACGATACCCCATGTGGGTTACTGATTGGCCGAGCCATGTTAAGTTCTTTTCTTCCACATCAGGTACCTGCTGAAGCCACCTGATCTGGCTTCACCAATGGGGTGACAGGCTGGTCCCACAGGTGCGACGGTCGCCTCCCTGCCCTGTGCTGGCTTCTTTGCTTCAGAAGCGCCTTGTACTCCTGCCAATTGGAGCAGCGCCTCACCTCCCTGTCCGCATTGACGCTGCTCTTGTATCTACTTTCCCTCTCCTGCTGCGCCTGCTCCTTCCGTGTCAACTTCTCACGCTTCTGGTTGACCAGCTTGCACCAGCGGGTAGCATCGGCTTCCCGCCCAGCTACGTTCTCGGGGAGCAGTGTCTTGTCAGGCTGCGAAAGGAAAGTATGTGGGCAGTCGGAAGCCATATTGGGGAAGGCAATTCTGGTGAAGTCCCAGCGGGATGGGTGGGTACCACTGCAGCTGTTCCCAGCAGCCTGGTCTCCAGTTTTAGCTTGTGAGTGACTGGGGGACTTGCTGAGTTGTACTGCATCAGTGGCCACTTGGGATGACTGCCCCTCTCTGCTGGCAGGATCTGACTCCTTTGACTTCTCTGACAAACAGCTCTCCCCAGAGGCTGGTTTCTTAGGATCCCCACAGCTCTCGCTGGCCTTTTCTGGGGTCCCTGGAGCTTCCAGAGGATTCCCAGAAACCTTCTGTTTCTTGTCTTGTAACCTAAAAACAGAAAAAGAGGCTACTCAGAATTTTACACCCTCAAAGTCCTTTCAGCAAATTTTGCCTCCCTACATGAGTAAGAACATTGGGCTCCCTGAGCATGAGAGAGGAGAAAGCTAGAATACTGGGAGCCCATGAAGGGACCTGCACACCTGCATTAACAGGCTCTTATTAGAACTGTTGGGTTTTTGTTTTTATTTATGTGAAGCACTGTGCAGCATTTTGCTCATCAGAATGAGAGATGGATAGTGCTGGCTAAGGATAACCACAGAAGCAGAAAATGCAGTGCAAGTATCCCATGCAGCCCCGTAAACCTGACCTGGGGCACCCCTGCTATTCTTGTCTTGGCTCCTCCTCACACAGGTCTGCCCACGCCCGCAAGCCTGCCTGGCAGCCCCCACCTCTCCTACACCTACCCTGAGTCTTTCCTAAGCAGGAACTGACAAATGTACCAATGGAATGGAGGGGTTTAAAAACACATACAAAATCCTCCTGGCATTATCTGTTACTTACATAAGATTTGATCCCAGGTCTCCAGACATGAAAGGCTAGTTCATTAGTCCACAGTTTTAACTCTTATGTCTTCCTTAAAATGTCATCATAACTACTGCACTGGCATGTTTGGAAAGAAATTTCTGTAAGAGGAGTGAACTGGGCTGATTATTCTGCCCTTCCCTGTTTCTAAGTCTGTGGTGCCACCTGCTGCTAAGTATGTTATAAATAATGTCATACTATTCATTACTTGCATTGTGATAATGGCCACCCAGAGGCACTATGGACCAGAACACCATTGTTCTAGGCACTGCAAATTCAGACCAAAAAACATCTCTGCCCTAAAGAGCTGAACCATATCAGAATTAACACCGAAAGTCTTCTGTTCTTTAGTAGCTGCTGATCAGCCCTTTTTCGGAGCTCTTTTAACAATGCCTTGCTTCTTTAGATGTGAAAAGGAGAGAGAGGAGTTTCTTGCAATTTGTTTCTCATATCTTTCTATTTCAGGATCTCACAAACTCACCACCATCAGCAGACAGGACTAGCAGACAATTTGCCCCGTAGCTCAGTTAAGCCTCTTGTGAAGAGTAGATGTAAGAAGGGGGATACATTGCAAAAGGTCACTAGAACCCCTGCTCTGCTTGGGTGGAAGTGACACATCAGCTACTTCAGACAATTTAAGAGAGTGCGGGAGTAGGAGATGTTGCAGTGACATCGTTACGTATGATCTAAGGTTCTAGCTATGACAACACTGAAGGAAGCAAGGGAGCGGGGAGGGGAAGCATGCACTGATGGCTTTTCATTGTAAAAGATACCTTGTGAATTGACTGTGGCCTGGCCAGCTGACCAGAGAGTTCACCGATCTCTCAGATCACCTGAATGCTGTTTACAGTGACATTTGGTCAGATTACTAAACTCAGCACCAACACCCTAGATAGCTTGCAAGGACCAAATAGGCTGAGGCGAGTGGGAATCTGTTCGTTTCTTGCCCTTGGATGAAACGGGCAGTAAGCAACATTTTTAGCAGTGGCCCAGAACCTGGGGAAGAAGTTAATCTATTACGGGCTTGCCATAATGTGTCTGCTTTCCTTTACCGGGGGCTGGAGCTCCTCTTCCTTTTGTGATGGCGTTTTCCAGTGCTCTTGCAGTAACTATCCAGGTTCAGCTTCCTCTCGTACTGAGATGGAACAACACTGTAATGAGGCAAACAGAAAAAGGGACAGAGAGAGAGAGTTGGGCAGTGCTAGAATGGTGCTTACATTTTCCTATATATCTAATCAGTGCTTTTTTTTTTTGTTTAAAAAAAAGGGGGGGGTGCTGGTACTCCAGGGGAAAAAAGTTGTTGAGCTCTGACTGGAGGTGCCGGTACTGTGTCTGGAGGTGCTGGTACTATGTACCGTCACAAAAGAAAAACACTGGCTTTATTGGAACAGCAAACGCCTCTCACTGGGTAAGGAAAGTGCTGTGAAGACTAGAGAAGCAGAAAGAATTTCCCCTCCCTAGAGTCACTTTTCCAGTCTCTTTACTCTGCACCTACTTCTCATCACAGTCAGCCTGAGAGCTGACCATAAGAAAATCTATTGTATTGTTTTTGGTGCATACTCCTTGAAGTGCCTGAGTGCAAGGTACAGTCAGAGGCGACCCTGCTTTGTCTGAGCCAACAGGCTGGGAGGACGCACGCTTTAACGCTCAAACGTGGGATGCTTACATGAAGTTAATGCATCCAAGCGGTAATGGGGGGAAAATCATACAGGCTCACATGGACTGGAGAACCTCAGATCAGCTCAGGGATTTATTAGTGACGCCTCTATACAGGGAATAAACTGGGGGGGAGGGGAAGGACACCGGCAGTTCTCAGTGGCTATTTATTTATTATTTGTATTGCAGGAACACCTAGGGCACTAGCAGTTATAGATGAGGACCCCACAGTGCTATACACTGTACAAACAAACAGAACCTCCAGAGCGTTTACAACGTAAGTGCTGCAGATCATGGTTAATGCCACCTCATAATATGCTCACTATTATTATTTGTATTATGGTAGCACCTACAGGTTCCAAACAAGATCTGGGCCCTATCGTGCCAGGTGCAGAACACACACACAAAGTAAGAGACAATCCTTGCTCCAAAGAGCTTTTAGTCTAACCAGACAAGACAGACAAATGTACAGAGGAACAGGAAGGTGAAATGACTTGTCTACAGCCACTGCAGGTCAGTGACAGAGCTGGATATGGAATCCAGGTCTCCAAGCTCCCAGCCCATCACTCTGTCCTCATTCCCTGAGGCTGAGCAGCTGTCGAATGTTTCAAGTCAGGAAATGGATAAATTTGAGGGAAGGAGGATGATTGGCTTCCAGCTTACCATGGCTCAACTCCGACTTCATCTGCCAACTAAGGGTGCATCTACACAGCACCCTAAACTTGAAATAAGATTTGTAATTTGCACTACACAAATTGCGTATCTTATCTCGAATCTATTCTGAAATAGCTTAGTTTGAAATTTGGTGTGTCAACAGCACCAAATTTAAAAATAATGTGCTATTTCAAGCCATCCCTTATCCCTCATGCAACGAGGTTTATTGGGATGGCAAAATAGAGCGTCCGTTATTTTGAAAAATATTTCGAAGAAACGGGAGGCTTGTGTAGATGTGGGGTAGCTATTGTATCTCGAAATAGCTGTGCAGTGTAAACGTACCCTAAGAATCACAGCTAGAGATTTCCAGACCCCTACAAAAAGTTTTCTAGGTTTCATGTGCTGAAGCAGGGAAACTGAAGAAGCAAGCAAATAAGAACCTCGATAGAGCAGAGCCCCTCTTCTCTGCCCTACACCCAGGGCATTCCGGCCTAGCTTCTGAAAGACAGCAGCAGGAAGGGGTAAGGAAAAGAAAAGCCAGGTACCTGGGGCAGAATCTCAGCACAATGTAGCCCAGTCTCTTCAAATGGCTGAACACCTTAAGAGAGCAAAGAAAACCAAGAATGTTAAATGATCACCTTAAAAAAAAATAAAATCAGAATTCTCCTTTGGTATAATATGGCAAGCTGAGTGAGAGACCGAAGACAGCTAAGCACAGTGTGTGCCTGGTTCTCTAGCATTCTTCTCCACAAAAAGTACATGAATGGTCATATGAGTAAAAGTTCATTAGATGCCAAAACCCCACAAACCTGGCTGGGACTCTGCTTGGCTTGAGAGCCAGCATAGCTACATGAGTGCTCATCCACATGGAGACTCTGACTGGTACAAATGTGCAGCTTGCTTTAGCACCCAAAAAGCATTAAATGCCTCCTTGGCCCCCCAAAATACAGTTGTGGAATGTTCATTACCTATGAGCCTGAAGGAAAGAGAAGGGACTTAATACGATCTGTACTAGGGATGTTAAGGACTAGTCGACAGGATAGTCGACTAGTCGCTTCTCCTGTCCTTGCTGTCTCTATCAGATAGAGGCAGCAATGGGAGGGGAAGCAGGGGGGATGAGAGAGGGGGGGACTTCAAAGAGGCAGCGCTGCAGGAGCCTAGGGTCAGCTGGAATTCCCAGCTGACCCCAGGCTCTGTCTGGCACTAAGCCCAGGATCAGCTGTGGGGCACTGCCCCTTTGAAACTACACTACAGTGTTTCAAAGTGGCAGTGCAGCATGGAGTCTGGGGTCAGCTGAGGAGTCCCCAGCTGATCCCAGGCTCTGTATGGCGCTACCCCCTTTGAAATGCCATGGCGGAATTTCAAAGGGGCAGCGTCGCCCTATAGACTAATCGAATAGTTGATGCAAAAATGCATTTGCATTATTCGATTAGTGAAATACATGCTAAATCTGTACATAATACAAACCTGAGACATTTTATGTTTGCCTCCAGCATCCTGGACTTCAGAAGTCCGGTCTCTGTGCTGCTGCTGTAGCTAGTGTTTTCCCATCAATGGGCAAGAGCCAGCAGCAGAGGCAAAATAGACATAGCCCTTGGCAGTTCCACTCTGCTATTCTTTCTGGGCATAAGGGGAGTGGGGTTTTTGAAGGCAGGAGTCAAGTTTTGCATCTGCTGCAGAATAAGAGATTGCTTTGATTTGCCCTGTCCTCAGTGCCTCTAGCACAGGGGTGGGCAAAAGGGACTCCATGGGCTAGGTCCGGCCTACCAAGCAGGTTGATCCAGCCCGCGGAGGCCCTGCCACTCCTCCACCCCCAAGCCAATTAGGGCCAGGGGGGCGGGGGAGAAAGCACGCAAAGTTTCCTCCATCCTGCCAGGAGCATGCGGATTTGAAGCTCCGCAAGCTCCTGGCAGGGCGGGAGGATCCTTTGCACGCTCCCCCGCCCCCAAGCCCCAATTTGCGTGGGGGCGGGAGGAGCAAGCAGCACTTAGAAGTGCCACGCACTCCTGGCAGGGCAGGAGAAAACTTTGCATCCTTCCCTGCCCCCAGGCCTTGATTGGCCTGGGGGTGGGGGAGCATATGCCACTGGGTAAATTCTATGGAACCCTAAAATAGGAGAGATCCCAGGGGACAGAAGAGAACCAGAGCCAGAAGGTAATAAAGGAGACAATTGCTTAGCTGAAGTAGGAAAACCAGTGGACAAGAGGCATCAACTAAATTCCACTCCCTTCCTAAATTACAGACATCCCCCCTCTCCCACCATCTGAATGGGTGGGTTGTATCCACCTCTTACTCCCTGCAGTAATCACCACTGGTGTCAAATCCTTTGTGCACACCTGGTACTGCAGCAGGCTCACTGTCCCTTGGGACAGCAGGATCTCATAGGCTTCTTGTATGGACAAGGGCAGATCTCTGTAAAAGAGCTGAATAGAGCCCTGAAAAACAAAAGATTGGGTTTACGAACCCCAGGCTGTAGGAAACGAGAGTCCACACCCATTCCCTCCTTGTCTCACCAGCTGGTCCCAGCATCCAGCTGCTTTTGCCTCAAGTTCCAGCTTGGTGCTTCTTAAGTATCCCCTTATTTCAATGTAACTTCTCTCCTATAAATCTGAGATACTGATTTATTCCCAGCTGCACAGTGGCACCTGCCCACTATATTGGGTCTAATGGAGCAGAGATAGCCTTGATCAGCGCTGCAGCAAAACACGGGCCTTCCTGTGCAAGCCCACACATTGCTGTGTAGTCAAAAAGTAATTGGCAATAACCTGGGCTAGCTCCTGAGTTCTGCTGAGCACCCACAATCCCCAGTTACCTCAAGAGTGGCTATGGGCACTCAGCTTCTCTCAGCCTTAGTTTCTCCAATCTAGGGGCCTGCTCAGGAGCTAATTTTAAGCTAAACATCTCTCACCTTGATTTGTTTGCCCACAAAATACCAAGTACTAAGTCCTTGGAAATATGCCTACCCTGTGGGATGGGATAGATGCATCTCCCAGGTCATTTCTGCCTCTAGAACCTAAATGATTGTGTGCCTAGCTGCCACCTGCACAATTTCGTTTTCATATGATCTCTAGCCCTTGGCAAACCACACATGCAAAGGAGAAAAGTCCTTGAAATCACCAAGTGAGACAAACCATCTGCCGTCCTCCATCTGATAGTTTATCAAAACAAGTGTATCTTTAGACTTGAACAGCTTTTGGACTGATGCAATTTCTCAATAGCAAGAGCCAAGCCCCTCAAAAATCAGAGAATGCCAGTCCAGCCTTCCCTGAGAACCTCAGGGAGGAGACTTTTTTAGGCAAAAGAAAAGGATCCAAAAGGAATTGGTCTCTTCACTCCTTTGACTTCCTTTTGGGCATATATGCTAGTGAGGGGTACCAAGCATTTATTCACAGAGCAGGTACTGCATATGTATATGCCTCTCACACACCAATACACTTCAGCTACATCCCATGAAGAGACTGATATGGTGCTAACACCATATCCTCTATATATTTAATAAAAGCTACATTTTGTTCCAAAACCACATAAAGGATTATGGACCAGGACATAAATATATGATTTTGTTCTACAAATAAAGTACTGGGCCCTACTTAAGCAAGGTAGGAATGTAGACTGGTAACTGGTTAACAAGTTACCAGTAAACAGTTAACCAGTGCCCAGCCTTGCCAAAGCAGTCCTCTGCCCACAGCAAGCCATGGGCGAGACTGCCCCAAGCCAGCTAGGCCCACCAGAACATGGGCTGGCAGCCCCACAGTTAACTGTGTAATTGATAGAATTTTGATCAGTTACACGGTTAATATTTGTATATATTTTTTAAAATCCCTAAAGCAAGGGAATGTTCTGTACATTTCACAGTCATTTATTTCCTTGTACTGCAGGCAAGAACCCTACAAATGAAAGAATTGTTGCACCAGAGCATGAACGGCAGCTACTTCAGGGCATTCTTTGAACTAGTAGTATAGAGCTGAAAGGTTTTGTGTCTCATCACCTACAGACAAACTCTCAGGAATTGGGCTTCTTGAAGATTCAGACTGTAATAAAGACCATCATGTGCCAGACTGTGTCCTGAAGAGCATAAACAAGTGGAGGTTTTTGAACCATTGAAAAGAATGAAGGATCCACTACAGCTTCCCTAATGCTCTCTTTCCTTTACTAGCTACTGTTGTTCCTACAATGGTGTTATTCAAAAATAATCCACTCTCCCCAAGCTGGACATCCTACTCACGCATTCCAGTAGATAGAGGGCTTCCTCTGGTAGCAGGCACTGTTTGCCATGCTCTGTGAACCCCATAGTGTGCCAGAACTTCCCCTGGGAACAAAAGGATAGATCTGTGATGTGCTGGGGCCATCCCCTGCCCAGAGCCAAGCTTTCACCAATACTGGGACACGAATTAAATATCAGACAGACAGACAGACAGACAATCTGCACTTGCCAGCAGGAGGCGTCAGTGTCAAGCTAATACAGCAGCGCCACTTACCGCAGGGGATTTCAGCTCCACAAAGCCCTCTTGTGGCTTCCACTCAGCTTTCACCAAACTTCCCCTGAGAAGTGTTAAAAAAAAGTGCCAATAGACATCAGCCCACCATTCCTTTTCCCCCTCAAGCTAGTTCTCTCCATCAGCTTGTGGGAAAGTTGCAAACTTCCTGAGGCTAAAAGTATCCTGCCAGAAATGCATTATAACACTCTGCAGCTCCTGAAGTCACTCTACACTGCAATCTCAAACACACGGAACAGAACACATGCTTTTGTAGGGGGCATTTAAACCTGCAGAAAGTGAGCAACAAGTGACAGGTAGGAGGAGTGTGGTTGTAAAAGCGCATTTTTAGTGACTTGGAGACAGGAGCCGGGGGTTCTGTCACGGGTTTGCTGTGTGTGTAGGGATAAGTCATGGCATCTCTCTGCCTCAACTACCCTACGGCTGTGTCTACACTGGGCCACTTATTCCGGAAAATCAGCCGCTTTTCCGGAATAAGCTGCGAGCTGTCTACACTGGCCCTTGAATTTCTGGAAAAGCAACGATGCTCTACTGTACAAAATCAGCCGCTATTCCGGAAAAACTATTCTGCTCCCGCTCGGGCATAAGTCCTTATTTCGGAACACTGTTCCGGAAAAGGGCCAGTGTAGACAGCCCAGTAGTCTTTTCCGGAAAAAAGCCCCGATCGCGAAAATGACGCTCGGGGCTCTTTTCCGGAAAAGCGCGTCTACATTGGCCACAGACGCTTTTCCGGAAAAGGGCTTTTCCGGAAAAGCAGCCTGCCAATGTAGACACTCCTTTTCCGGAAAAACTTAAAACGGAATACTATTCCGTTTTAAGCAGTTTCGGAAATTCATGCCAGTGTAGGCTACGTCTACGCGTAAAATGGGAAGATGTTGAGAACTCACAAGGATGCCACATATGCCTGTGTGAACCTTGAATGAACAGCGAAATCCACTGTACAATCAGCACTGACAGATCATCAGCATGCAGACTTCCCCCCAATGCCCTCTTGCCACTCTCGTTGTCCTGGAAACCAGCAGGAGCCCCATGTGCAGTGCTGCCCCTAAGGAACAGGATCTAAACCCAGAGGAAAGCACTTACAGCCGCTCCACCCGCTCCTCCGCGAGGAGCTGCCAATGTTCCTCCCGGCACCGGCGCAGCCTTTCCGCCTGCTCTTGCGAGCCATCGGGGGTGAAGTCCTTCTGGCCGTGCGAGCGCTGAGGAACCTTGCGGTCCCGGGGCCGAGCGGCCAGCAGCTCAGCTGGGCTGGGGAAGAGGAAATGTTAGAATCCCTGGGCTGCGGCTCCCGTCCAACATCGCTCCGGCCGCTTGCAGCTGCAGGCCCGCACGGGGGGCGAGGGAAGGCTGGGCACCCTCTGCTGCCCGGCTGCCGGGGGGCAGGCCCCCAGCTCTCCAAGGGCCGGCTCTCCCCGAGAGGGCTGAGTGCACTAAGGGC